AGGAATGTTTCATAGCAGAAAGAACGATTGCAAAAGAGAAGAAAAAAAGTTGATTATAATTAAGTTATGTCGTTTGAAGACAGTATTGTTTTTAATGTTGCTTTTGATTCTAGTGTTGAGTATCTTCACCTTCATTGACGCTACTATTCAAAATATTCGTGAATTTGTTCATTAATTTATTATCATCCGATATATATACTACACATGTAGTGTCACAGATATTTGCCAAGATAAAGAAAATTTTTAGTTATCATAGTTTTGAGTATGAGAAAAAAACATGCGATACTTTTCTTGATCCGCAATTTAATGATATTATTCATATTGATGCTGATTTGGTCAATAAGAAAAAATAAACATTTAGATGGTATTTGGATACATAATGAGTATACATGTTGGTCAATGTGGCTCCACGTACATTTCACGATTGTGGCAATTAGGTAGATTATTTGACTACCTTTGCCTGTGATCATGTTCTCGATGTATACTATCATTCTTAATGTGATTATGAAATATAGAAATAATAATTATCAGCATACATAGTTCTACATAGATTTAAACAAAACAACTCACGTGAAAGCAATATTTAGAATATTATTTTATTCAGACTATTTTGACTAATAATAAATTTTCCTCTCATTCTTCCTAAGGAAAGTATCTACCAAAAATCTTTAAAAATTGTGTTTTTTTTTCTATTACTATTTAATAAAGAAATAAATTGCATTTCCAATTACATTAACCAACGCAAACTAAATTACAGAAGCACGTGTTATAATTAATCCTTGATGATCGTGCTATACATGTTAAACTTCAAAAGTTGCTTTCAACTTTCAATTTTGACATTATTGCTCTTTCCATCTTAGTCTGTTTCTTTCAAATAATCAGCATGTTCTTTTTATTAAATTTACAACACAGCATATTGAGAATTAATACTTCTGTCATAAAATACGTTTCATGATATCGATGTATGGTGTCAACAAAAGATAGATGACACTTATATTGCCATCGATCATTCAAGATAATTTCAGTGCATGCATTCCTTACAATCTGCACATGGCTTAGACATGCGCTCAAACACTTATCTGTGAATAAGAATATCAGGAAGTCAGGACACATGTTGAGGCATGCATGTGTGCAAACACATAACAAAAGTGTTTGTCTAGAAAATAGATTTGCATGCTTTCTTACTTAAATATTGTGTGTTCAAGGGAATGGATGTCATTTCTGAAAAAAAAACGAAGATGCAGGAAAGTATACCCGAGAATTTGCCGCAACGGTCAACTGAACTGACAAACACCAACAAAAGGTTCGTATCGATAAATTTATATAAATGATTGACTCATTTCATGTTTAGACGTTTTGCCTTAATCGTTCTTGCCATTATTATTGGAATATGCATTATAACAACGGCCATCGTCGTACCTATCGTTTTAACTAAACAGGCCAATACAACTGGTATGTTGTTTTTGTAAGAACAAAAATACATGATAATATTCTCATCGAACCTAAGAAATATACCAGCTCATCCCATTTTCAACACCCGAAAAGATATAGGACCACTAGAAACTACTATAATTGGTGCTCGACTGCTAAAAAGTACTGAAGCAACTAAGATAAGAACTGACCATATTTTACATTATTTTTTTCAATTGGAAAGAAAGTTATAAAAGATCTTGATGATTCGACTTTTCTTAGTATGATAAATATAATTATGAACCAAATATTAAAACTTCAACAGTTACTAGGACTTCCTCATGACTATTATGTTGCTAATTGATATACTTATTTAAATGTCTTTTTTTCTTCTATGCGTAATAGTATCGATTACAACAACGTGGATCACAGCCACGACCACAACAATGACGGCAACAAATTTGACTACAACCACAATTACAATGACAGCCTTTTCATGTAAGCTTTGTCTCATTTGATATTAAATCCCGACTAAAATTACAAAATCGTCTCCGTGAATCCAGTTGTTTAGTCACTCCAGATCAATTTACAATCTAGAGCAGACAAAAGCCTACAATTACATGCACTCAAGCATTCTGTATACTAGTAATGGAACCAAGACTTTGAGCTTGGTGAAATGAATGGAGAGCTGGTTAGCCGCAAAATTTTTTAAGTTGCGTAGGTTGTACTTTTTCTTGTATTTTCAAACATTTTGGAAGTTCATTGTACTTGAGAGCACTTCAAGAATATGTCTATGTTATTCTCTAAAATTGTCTAGCTATGTCAAAGTCTGTTTTGTACTTGAGAATTCGAGTATCAGTGAAATACGATGGAGCATTTGGGCTTTATTGCCAGACAACCGTATATAAAATAAATTCACACAAATTGATAATAGACTTGAAATATCTAAATAGTGCTGGAGTACGATGCAGCAAGAGTAAAGTACAGAATTTCCACTTTTTTCTCTTAAATTAATAACACGAAAATGAATACATTAGAAATAAATACCTTCAATCTGGTATTCTAATTTTCGGATAGAAACCAATATTGACACGTCTTACTTCCGTGATCCGATGCATCCTGGAGAGCTTTTGTTTTGAAACGTTTTCACTGGGATGTCTTGTTCTCGATCTTCAATGGAGAACTAGTTTGTAATTTTTTTAAGTCAGACATCTAGTGATAAAAAAAATTCACATTTATCTGTTCACGAGAAATGAGAAAAGATATGAAGGATGATTAACATCTTTTCTATAATGATTTTTTGCCTTTCCCGTCTCCCGTCAGAATTGCTAGGATAAGCACTTTATTATCGGATAGGAAGTGCCTTTCTTTACAAGAATCTGCTTGTTTTTTGAAACTTGAATTTTTTTATATCTAAATTGTTTGTTTACAAAAAGAATCAAAATATATGAGTTTTTGTGTCCTGAACAGACGTGAATGGTTTTTCTTACCTGAGATAACAGATTTAATCTTCGAAAAAAAAAGTAGGTTTGAATATTGATCGCGGTGCTTTTTGTTTTCTAACATCTTTTTTCAAAATGTGTGTTGTTCTAACGGAAATGCATCGCGTCTGAAAAGTTCCCTTAGATTTTAATCAAAGCGGTCTCATTTGATAGAAAAACGAAACATGAAGAGATTGCAGTACTATTTTAAAAGATTATTGCTCCTGAGCTGATGTGTGAATTTTTTTCAACGCCTTAAGTACCAATAGATTCAAAATCGACCAACATTTTACTTTTATGACAGTCTACGCGACTATTTTGATTTAGAATTTCCTTTCGAAGGTTTCTCTAGACGCTGAGCTAATTTTCGTTTCAGCATTCTGTTGAAAAATTGTGGATTATGGGTAGTTTTCAGAGAATACTAGAAATACTTAATTAAATGATATATATTTTATTTTACTTTTCGATTGATGCTTAATTTTCAAGATGTCATTTGAAACATTATCATTAACGATTATGTGTGGAAATTTGATGCGTAGTAAATTAAAATATTTTGTAAAATAGTACTTAATTAAAAATTGATCATTCATACTTTATAAAATAGATCTCAGTCATCATCTAATCGGAATTGATAGAATCATAAAAAGTTCATGCCAAATTAAAACTATTCATGAAGAAGCCACTTTTGAAAAATTTATAATGAACACAATCTTTGTAGTCTTATTTCGTTTCCAATATGAACCTAAATTCCGAAGAAAGTTTTGAAAGCGACGTCTTAGTTAATGACATCAATTTGATGTGCAAAATGAATAATTCTGCTAATCCTAATTATGCTAGGTTTATGAAATATGAATGATCAATTTTGTTTCAAAGTTTGTGACACTTTTTAACAAAGTACCTTTTTACAAAATATTTGTACTTACTATTCGTCAAACTTTCACCCATAATCTTTTGTGACACTCTGTGATTTTTAAATCGTGTATAGAGTTTTGTAGAGAATCAATCGAAAACCAAAGTATGCTCTGAAAATTATCCATAATTGATAATTTTCTTGACAGAATGCTAAAATGAAAATCGGTTAAGTGCGTATAGATATATTTGATCTTTTCAATATTATGCTGTAAAGAGAATTCCAAGTCAAAATAGTCTTGTAGACTATCATGAAAGAATAAGGTGAATCAAATTAGAAACAGATGAAAAAATTCATTCTCTAATTATTTGACCAATAACCGTAAATGAGAAGGATGATTTCACTACAGTATGGATGAAATCAAGCCATAACCAGTGATGTTGGTACTGAGATACGAACTCACCAAAAACCTCACTCTGCTTATTGATTTATTGTGAAACGAATTTTACTTATATACATTAAAAAAAAATCATATCTCGACTCTGAAGCAAAAAATAAACAAGAAGTGATATTATAACCTATTCATTTTTCATTTTCTCTATTAAATAAGACTGTTTTGACAAAGATCTGTCAGTATTTGTGGGAATAAATGCATTTTGGGCGTTATATTCGCTTTTCCTATTCATTTATTACTGTTTTCTCAGGAAATATTGAATCGATAGAATATTTAGTTTCTAAACTAGATCAAGTTTCTATTTTCAACAATTGTATGGATTCCATTGTTCAACGGAAACTGATGATTGACATCCAAAGCCGAGGTTGAGTCCCTAAATGATACTAATATTTAATTTTGGAAGCAAGGACTTGCTGAAACGCTTGAATTAGCCCATTACTGACAAGCAGCCATTTTCTACTATTGTAGAAGCTTGAACATAGTGGCAAAACGCGTTGAAATGATAGCCACGAGATAGATTTGTTTTTTTATTGGATTTCTGATAAAGTAATTTTCAATTAGAAACTCAGTGTTGTAAGATCACTGTTAGCTTGAAAACCGAAGTTTTGTTTACATAGAAGCAAAGATGTTCACATAAGTGTATCGATACTGCTAATTCCATATCTGTACAAGATCTCTGTTGTTGTGATTGTGCAGCAACATGTAGATCAATCTCTTTCTGATAGGAACGATCAATAGGTCCCACTTGAAAATTACATGATTCACCAATCAATACTTCTTGCCAGGTTGGTCGTACACAGGCAACATGAGTACTACACGAGCTGATCACTTTGCATCAATCTTAACAAATGGCATGGTTTTAATTAATGGTGGGACTTTGGATGACAGTTTTAATGGTGCTGGTACAGAATTGTATAATTCATCCACAGGAGTATGGACAAATACTGGTAACATGACTAGCCCGCGGCTGTATCACGCAGTTTCTGTATTAACAGATGGAAAAGTACTAGTTGCTGGTGGAAGATATGGTTTCGATACGTTGGCGAGTACAGAGTTGTACGATCCATCAACAGGATTATGGACAAACGCTGGAAATATGCGTACGATACGAGCGTTGCATACTGCATCCACATTAGCAAATGGAAAAGTTCTAATTACTGGCGGAGCAAATGCCAACCATCTTGCAACTTGTGAATTATATGATCCATCAACGAGATTATGGACGAGTACTGGTAGCATGATTCATGCGCGGATACAGCACACTGCATCTATGTTAACAAACGGAAAAGTGTTAATTACTGGTGGACACAACGGTTCAGATGTTTTAGCGAGTGCCGAATTATACGATCTATCAACAGGATTATGGATACAGACTAATAGTATGAAGGATTCACGATCTTCGCACACTGCATCTCTATTAGCAAATGGAAAAGTATTAGTTGTTGGTGGAATGGGTCGCGTTGGTACACTAAATAGTGCAGAATTATACGATCCACCAACAGGATTATGGACAAACACTGGTAGCATGAATGATGCACGAAGTTCTCACACTGCATCTGTGTTAAAAAATGGAAAAGTGTTAGTTGTTGGTGGATATGGTTATGGTCGCATTTCTAGTGCAGAATTATACGATCCATCAACAGGATTATGGATAAAGATCATAAATTTCAATACTGAACGATCATCACACACTGCATCTGTGTTAACAAATGGAAAAGTTTTAGTAGTTGGTGGAAAGAACTTTTTTTCTTCTTTGAATAATGCAGTACTCTATGATCCATCAAAAGACGTTTGTACAGATGCTAGCAGCAATAATACTACACAAGTGAAGAATATGGTATATGATATTAAACAATGATCGCAATTATTTGAACTTTGAATAATACAGAATTATTTTCATAAACATTATTACATTGAAATGGTTTTTATTTGACTAAAACTCTTAATCAATTTCTCACTCTCATTAGAACCATCTACTTTACTCTGTTAAGACAGAAAAGCTTCTTCGTTTCGAAACGATATGGTTCTGTGTACATTTCAATTTGGTGGAGCCCTAATTCTGAATAGAATGCGTTTTTTTGCAGAGTACAATACTTCAATAATACTGTTGTCATCAGTTTCTGAATAAACTAAAAATGCTTCTGTTGAAAAGAGATGTCTGTTATAGCTTCTTCACTGCTTGTCCAAACTCGAGTTTATCTAGATGATTAATAAAAATGAAGAGAGAAACTACGAAACAAGCATTCCATAATGCACAAAGAAATACTAGAGAAAAATTTAGAAGAGCATCGAGATAATGAGATGCAACAAAATACACTATTAAATACAATCTCATGTTCAGTCTGTTAAGACTTTACTACTTCGACCTCTGTCGACATGAAAAGATTGCCTGTAACTAGTTCTATTATTCAGTAGCAGATTATGGAAAAAAACATAAAACTAATTTGTTTTTTATTTGGAAGAACTATAATGACCGCTATTCAATGGACTAGGAGTGACAACATTAGATCAGTAGACTATCAGAAAGAAACTTAATACTTGTAACTACATTGTATGCGATGCATCCAAAATTGCAATAGATGAATGGTAGAATTCACCCAGTCGAATGAAAAATAAGAAAGACATGATTTAATCATTTACTTAATATTTTCAGAATGACATAGTGTTAAGTAATGACCCACACAGAGAGGGCTCTAATATGTTCAAAGGTCACTGTTAAAATTTTAAAAGACGGAATGATTTTATATATCGCATGATCATACATTTTAACAACGACCAAAATGTCGATATGTGACTCCATCTGAGAAACACAATTACAGATGTTTGTTCAAAATTCTGTCCGTACGACATACTGTTGTTTAGTACTATGATCAATTATGACTTTGAAGTGCTAGCACAACTCTTGCTAGAATCACTGAATTTGATCAAAGTCATCCTAATGTATGAAGCACACTGATTCTGAAACAACAATCATATATGAAATACACAAAGCTGTTTGGAATCAAATGTGAGTGTTGGAAGAGGAAATGATCTTCAGATACTTATTTAACCATTAGCATGCTTTTAATAAAAACTAGTGGATCAAAAATTTCATGCTGAGATTAATTATATTTACTACTTCCAAAATAGATGATAAGTCATTGATTGTTTTTATCTCAGAACTATGTAGCAGTTGGTCGTAAAAATTCATTCAACTTCCTAAATACAGAGAATGGAGTTTTTGAGAATCGAATCTAGAGACACCAATAAGCAAAAAACAAAGAAAATGAAACTTACGAGGGAACATTCCCAAGTGGCCCATCGTTTTTGAGTTCGGACTCTATGCATAAGGTAGATCCCAGTGACGTATGAAAAATCCCAGAAGAATAAGTGCCCTTAGGCCTTCTGTCTAGGGTTATAGGCATTTTACCGCAATTTTAGCCTTTGGCATGGTAAATACCGACAAATCAAATGATGGTATCTCGACCTACGATTTTGCCCACAAATAGATCTGTTTGTGAGTAGAATACGCTGAAAATTTTAGCTCAAAAGAATGTTCTATTCCTGAGATATTAAAGTCCCAAAAATCAATAATATCCCACGAAAGATGCTAGAATTTACTGTTTTTTGGGACTTTAATATCTCAGGAATAAAACATTCTTTTGAGCTGAAATTTTCAGGATATTCTACTCACAAATAGATCTATCTGTGGACAAAATCTCAGGTCGAAATACAGTCATTCGATTTATCGGTATATACCATGCCAAAGGCTAAAATTTCGGTAAAATGCCTATAACTCTAGACAGAAGGCCTAAGGGCACTTATTCTTCTGGGGTTTTCATACATCACTGGGATCTACCTTATGCATAGAGTTCGAACTCAAAAATGATGGGACACTTGGGAATGTTCCATCGTTAGTTCAAAATATAGCCAGATAGATGTGCAATCCATGCATGAAACCAACTTACAACATGATCAAAAAACTTCCATTTTGATCTTGATTGATCGATCCTAACTTTAACGACCAATGATAGTAAAAAGAAAAAAGCGAGTGAACAATTTACTATTGAAAGCTTTAGTGAAATCAATTTCACATAATTGTCTCAACTAATATCCACAGATTTTTTTTTAATATCTCAATTTTTCACTAGTCTCGCGAATTGAGTTTTCAACTAACAGGTTTTCTTCAGTAGTGCATAGGTATAGGCATGCCGCGGTCCCACCACACACTTGCACCCGCACCTATAGCTCTACTTGAACTTGACTAACTTTAATTCGATGCCAACCTTAGGCTGAAATCTGTGAATGATTTACTACGGCAGTCTTATCAAAACAGATAGTGTATATATGTGTATTTGAAAATTGGAAATTGAAATTTATAACCTAAATTGAAACTTAATAAATGTGAAACTTGAATCGAATTCAACTTGCAAGTCTGACATATATGTAAATGGGAAGAGAATAAAGGTAATTAAAAAAAATATTTATTTGAAAGGTAATGAATATTAAAATTATCTAGGATAGAAATCAAACAATTCATATAAAAAGCAAACACATGTTCGAAAGAACTCATTAATATGCCCAGAAATATAGAGCAGAAAAATATACACAAGAAACATACATGTATAACGAAAATATCGACCATTATTTCAAATACTAAAATGCATGAGGGTGTAGATGTTTATGGCTATTTCTCACCCACATCCTTAGCCATCTCACATTGTAGGACAGTCAAAACACACCTAGTCATACTCGCACTTAATTTCTCCCTCTGGTATTTTCAGAAGAACTTCTTTAAAGCTAATACTCATCTCAAATTTAACAATTGTTGCCAACGGCAAAAAAAAACAGAGTATTATCTTTTTCCTTGTAAAAAGAAATCAATTCTACTGAAGTATCGTCGCCGATTACGAAAAGTCATTCAGTGATGGAACGATTTTGGAGATGTGATGACTAACATCAGTGTTGATATTAAACAAAAACTTTGCATTTGTTGTCATAGTAAGAGAAAGGTACTAATAACAAGAATCACATGACAAGATACATGATAGTGATGGTTGTGAGTGTGTGGGAGTAGGACAGACGTGTTAGAATTCCTCGTTCTCTGAAGTTATGTTTCTTAGGAACGGGCCAGCTTGAAGATTCGTTTCCACACGTTTTTGATTATGTGGAGACTTATGGACGTACTTATCTTTTAATCTGTATCAAGTCGATATGAATTTCCGGGCTTCCAAGAATGGAACCCGTACTGGATTCTGAATTTCCGGAAACGGAATCAGAAACTGAGGGTGTGGGTTATTCTCTGTCGAACATTCACAACCACAAACTCATACCCGGCCACACCTACGTACCCACCCTCTATTGAAAGTTATTGAGAAAAGATTTTATTTGATAGAGTAGAATAAAACATCTCCATGACCTTTCTTCCATCAAAGTGCATTCAATTTACAAAAGATCCTAAAGCATCGAACATAGCAAAAAAATTGAGTTTTCAATGAAAAGGAAGAGACGAATGTGCCTTGATCTTTCTGTAAATTGAATGCAGTTCGATGAGTAAAGGTTATAGAGAGGTCAGCGATATCTCATCTCGCTCTATCATCTTCATCCAACCAGTTTCATGAAAATCTTCGGGTTTATCAATCCTAATAGAGCATCATTTTAGTTACACAAATGTTTTTTCAGATTCTGGCAAAATATTACTGTTGAGAAGATAATTTAAAAATACAACTGCTCTAAACTTACGTCTATAACCGCAGACAACATTGAATATACATCGATATTTTCTTCGAAGACCTTTCTTTATGATCGATAATAATGAAGAGATGTAGTCGCTCGAATTTTTTTTAGTCGTCAACAATTTTGTCTGTATTGTAGAGGGCAATAGGTCATATTATAATTAAATGTATCCTGAACCTATGTGTCATACGCATTGGTATTTGCTCGATAACAGTTAAAATGGCTGCGATTACTCGACTAGAAGATTTATCAAATGAAATATTTCTGGATATATTCGATTATTTGGATGCAATGGAGATTTTTTAGCATTTGCTTCACTTAACAAATGGATTTCGTTAATATTGAAGTCAACTCGTCTTTGTATAAACATTAATTTAGATCATTGCTGTCGTCAAGTTAACTTATTGTCTCACAATTTGAAATTTTATTCGGATCAAGTTGTTTCTCTACACATTCATGATACAATTAATGACCAAGAAAATATTATTGAATATCTATTCAATCAATATGATTTTGTAAATATTCATTCTTGTATATTTTATTCAATTGATTCATCATTCAAACTGAATAATGTTTTTAAAAAAATTATCAAAATTCTATAAGATCGTTTCATTTCGTATAATTCAATCCAGTAACGTTAAAGAAGAAAAACTTAATAGGTCTGATGTGGATAAGTTTAGTCACTTGATTTTGATAGATACATCACCAACACTTCGTTCAACAGTTCTTTATTTTCATTATAATCATCCACAAATAAGAACAACAACATCGATGATCATAACAAATCGTACACATTTACAAATTATTTGGTATGGTGCATATAATGATACATCAACTCATTCTCTGATTCTTTTGCTTCGTACTCATGGTACATTATAATCTTTTTGTGTGACAATTAAAAGTACAAAACGGATAGACATTTTTCGTTCACAGTAAGTATACATAAGATAATTTATGAATGATTGAAACCCATCAGCTTATTGGAGAATAAAAACATGATATATCTTTTTTCTAAGTTTAAGAGTACGTTTAGTTCCATCCTTTAATCAAGACAATCTTCTTAAATCGTTATCATTAAAGTCGTTCAATTTACAAGTTTTTATGGCTCAATCTGGTATTTATTCAATTGTTCACATTCTTCTTTGTATGCCTAATCTTCATGAATTTGTTTTTACACTTACCGTTGATCGATCACTTTCATTATATTGTACGACCTTGATTGAGGGACAAAATTGGCATGACATGTTAAAAACTAGTGTACCTTATTTGAAAAAATTTGATTTTCATATATCAATGTTAAAGAGAATGCAACCAATGGATTTAGATAATATTGTTGATTCATTCAGATGTTTGCAAAACTTATATCATCCATGGGAATGTGTATCAGTAGATGAAAATACGAGTCAGATTTACCCTATGAGGAAAGTAAGTCACATACATTGAATTTGACAAATAGCAAAGAAGTATTTCTTGTGGAACTTAGATTAAAAGTTTAAATAGAGGTTTTTGAGGATTCCATCCCTATCGATTCCAGAAATCCGAGACCTAATAAAGAAAGTCAAAAAGCATTGACTACGTTTTCTTAACACCAGGAAAAGTGTGTTAATAATAACAGTGCTTGTGTTAATCAGTAGAGCAGCGTTAGAATAGGACCAGTATAGAAAAAATAGAATTCTAAGTTGAGGCACAACTTAACAGTAAAGGTATCAAAATTTGTCGAGAAAAACGATGATATGCTTGAAAGCGTACTGAATGATTAAACCAATGTGTATCGCAGGTTAATATGTTGATTGAACCAACTCAACGAAGAATAAAGTGATATTTGCTGCTTCCTATAGCATGTAGGGTGTGTATCAACTATAAAAGTTTCGATTCTTCTGACAATATGTTCATATTAAGAAAACGTATTTTTTCTATTTATTTGTCTATTTCATAAGATGTACATATGAAAATAATAATCGAACATTCAAATAGTAAAAAAAAGATATCTTCATTTTGATTTTAATCATTTTAGTTGAACACGTTCATTTATGAACACTGAATTACAATCGTTTAAAAATACGACATGAAAATGGTATACCATCTATTACTATTAGTAATGGATTTGATATACGATCAACAAACATATCCAATCTTAATTTTTATCAGCAATAAATGGAATTTTCGATGATAGAAAAGCCAACAACACTAACTATTCAGCTATCAATTAATCTTCCATTCCAAAATATCAATAGTATCATATGTCACTTAACATATCCACAAGCTACATTCCTATCATTCTTAGATAATTCTACCATACGATTAGAACGACGTAAGTTTACTTGATTTTTCACATCGACTAATAAGCTAGAAAAATTTTTTGTGGTCTTATGTGTAGGTTATCTATTGCCGAAGAAAGATGATGAGGATTCACAAAAATATTTTAATAATCTTTCATGTCTTGCGAACTTGTCTAACGTCGATACTGTATAATTTTTACGAAACAATACTATAGCAAGATCCAATGTTATTGAATATATTTTATTGTAAGTTTTTCTATTCTTTAGAACAATATTCTAGTCAAAAAATGAACTAATGACTGTAGTCTGACGTGATTAATGTCTTATACACAGTCAAAATTAAGAAAATAGTATTTTGTCGATGGCGAACATACAACAATATTACTCATAAGTATTGGAATGATCTACACATAAACACAGTGTACAATTTTGGTTACTTGTTATAGTAAGATTGCTATGAGGTTCAAAAATGACTTTGTAATAGACGCCGAGTTTTCATAGTCTTTGTAATCAAGAGGGTAGATTTTTATCTATGCCTGCTGTAAAATCTATAATTTTCATTTTCAATTTTTAAATACAATGAGATATATTCGAAATAATAGAAATACTCAACAATGCATACTTGATGAAAGTCTATAGTTTATTAGAATATTTTTCATATGAGACATTCCATAATCTGTATATTAATTTTACTTGAAAGATTTGAATTCGATGTTAGATATTATCTAGTCAAAATTTTATAAATGTAAAAGTGCTCATAATAAAATCTATGCCTCGAAAGAAAAATTTTTCATCTATTTCTAGTTTTATTCAATTCGAAATCCAACAGAACGACTTGTGTCAATCGATTGAAAAGAAAAAAATTTTTGATAAGTTATTAATTAGAACATAGAGTATGTCTAAGATTTGATATTGTATACTTTTATTTTCTCTTTTTCTAGGGCATGTCCAAATGTCACAACACTTATTATTGACTGCTCATTGCTTTTCTTATCCAAAGTATCAAACAATCCTGCATTAATCGTAGTTCTTAATCAGCTGAACAAGGTTCGTATATTAACAGATAATATATACTTTCCTTCGAAATACTCATCGAGATTTGATCAACTTTTTCCATCGTTGACGAATGTCGAGATGAAACTCTATTCGACCGATATGTCAGTACCTATTGTAGATAATTTTCTGAGTGAACTTGAAAAATTACGTGTTATCCTAATACAATTTCGACATATTTTGTCCATTTGACGATTTATTTTCTCTTGACTATGTCATAGAAAAACAACATCAATCATTTGGTTTAAGTAAAAGCTATGAAGACGAAGTAGTTGTTCAAATCGAAAATAAAAAATTTTATATCGTGTTGCATAATTATGTATCTGTATATTTCTTTTTTTTTCCAGTATTACATTAATAAAATGATTGAAATCAACGATTGTTGTATACTGGAAATTACAGGAGGAGATGTAATGATTTTGTAGCAGTCTGTATATGTCAATAAGACTGTTGACTCATACAAGTTACTTTCGTCAGGTTCGTTTGTTCTTATATCCCAGAATATTTCGTTCCAGTGCGATATCTTTCAGCAAACTGTGTATCGTGCGTCAGCTGCTGCAAGCCGTTATCAATAATCAACACTTTCTGCAATATTTATTTTTACATAGAGATAGTAATGTTTATCTTTGCTTCTTTTTCTTGTAAGTACGCTTCAAACAGCATATTCATCTAGTGAGATACAGAATAGAAGTTTCGAAATATTTATGACATGTTTGTTCGAATAGACATAATAAAAATTGAATTTTCATGAGACGGAAATCTATTTTTTCTTGAAAAATGAGCGCTTTTACTGGACTAAAATTGGACTAGCCTTGTCTTGATTCAGCACACCACTGAGTGTAATACAACTATCATTTTTAGATACAGTACAATCGATCGCATATAAATTACATTCCAACAAAGGTATACAATGGCATATAATCCTAATCCTTCAATGACTATTTCATCTGTGCCTACATTCAAGCCTAGCATCATGAATAACAATCCATTGACGCATCTAATAACTAAAATTCCACCGTCGATAACATCTAAATTGAGTATTGGAGGAGTTTTATATATCATCATGGGACTAGTTTCAATTGGATTGGACATAGGGGCTTTGACCAATAGAATGCTTAGGTAAGAACTATGATAATCAAATTAGAAATATTTATTGTTTTTCTGCCTAGCTTTGGTGGTATCATCAATGGTGTGTATTTATTGATTACTGGGATACTCATCTTATACTTGTGCCGTCAAGAAGTGTACGTTTTAACAAGCTTGTTCATTTTAGTATTTTTAGAACTATGTTTCTCTATGCTGAACGCAATCGGTTTTATATTAATTTTGATTAATGTACCTTATTGCGACTATGGGCTTACTTGGCATTGTTTTTATGGTACCTTGCGTACAATTTTGATCATCGATCTCATTCATTGTTTTATTATCTTTTGTGTCACTATTTTTTATATGAGTGTGATTATAAATGGACGTCGACCTCAAGGCTTTTCGGTACCAACACCCAAGATAGTCTATGCACCATAGGCACAAACGATGCCCGTTGCTTTTGCAAATTCTGCGATAATAGCCTTGCAATAATTAGACTCCGCTGAGTACAAGCATACGACTGTTCAGAATATGCGAAGATTTTTCATTTTTTTTGTAATCCTTGCTGATTCATCCAAGATTTCAGGTCGAATGTGTGTTTCAAGATGTAAGATGATATAATATGATGTTATATGTGAGTGTAAGTAAGGAATACGGTGTTGCTAAAGAGTTTGTGATGGCGCATGAAACAGTGTGAGTGTTGATGTGAATTCAGGTATTTGAAAAGTACGCTCTAACCCACTTCAACCGCTTTTCAACTCAAAGTTAATATCAATCGGTAGAGCTTCGAATTCTGCACTCATAAGATCCCATACCAAGCCATTTACTTTAAAAAACCTTTGAGAAAAAACAATCAAATGTCATTTCGAACAGGCCACTCTCGCCCATCGTCACTCAAATATAAAAAAAGAAAGCTAACTTTCAACAAGAACAAAGTTATTGAAGTCATTCTTCCATCAGTCTTTCGTTCTCATGTCTCGTAACTATCTTTCAATAAATATAGTTACTGAAATGAATTTTATACATGTGCTGCACAATAAATTATGTTTTTCGTTATTCTTTTCTTGTTCTTCTTTTTATTTCGAATTATTATAGTTATCAACCACAATAGTGTGTTACAGATTTAAGCAATACTTTTAACAACAGTGGATCAACTGACCGCAAAGTAGATAGAACAAATGCACAAGGCACAACAATGTTTCTAAGAAAAAAATGCTCTCTTATCTATTAAGCGATAGTAATGGCTCAGTTATGTGTAACAAACACAGATACATTTGATTCATACTCTTGTAGGAACAAGACATATTTCGTGTGCAAGAGAACACAGAACAAATTAAAAAGCAGAAAAAGAAAAGAATAATAAAAGAACCATCATGTATTTTCGGTGTGAGTGTCCGTGTGAATGTTAAAATCTTCTCTTGGCTTACATCCGAGTCACAAAAATGGACCTATGTCGAGCACTCTTATTGTCATCTCGCTTTATCTCTCTTTGCAAGTTATCTATCCGTTCCATTATCTCTCGTGTGCACGAAGATAACATATAAGCAGGACTCTTTTTATTTACTCGTACTAGACACAAGCTAGGCTAACGTTATATTGTTGTCTTCACCTTCTTGCTGGACTTATCCTCGTAATTATTGTTGATATTCTTTCACATTTATTCAGAAGCATTTTACCATTATTGAATAATCAAACGTATTCAATATACTAAGAATGGCATTCAGTGAAGACACGGCGAAGAATACAGTATTGTTGGACGATATTGTTCTATACGACTATGATCTCTCGGAAGAAGCTAAAAATCAATTTGGTTTTCATAAAGACATTTTGCATGCATATAATCTGGATCGACTTCGTATCATTCAAAATCACAAATTAACACCTGTAGGTCGACATCTTCTTTTACTTCTTCTCGACGGCAATTATAAAAATTGTAAGAAAGTACTCAACTATGCTGCTGCAAACAAGGAAGTTTTTCAGAAAAGTATGCCAAATAGGGGTCCCCTAATCATATGTGGTCTTCCTCGAACGGGATCAACACTGCTATACAACTTACTGGCTTGTGATCCGAACTCTCGAGCTCTACTTTTCAGAGAAGTATATCCTGAATGTGTTCCGCCGATCTCACGTACGAATGCCGAAGAACAACAACGAAGAATAGACGCACTACGAACATTTACGTCTTATCGTGAACAATTACTCGGTCGACCACGTAAATACGTTGAAGTTCATCCAGTTCATGACATTGAGGAAGATATGCTCATATTGATGCAAGGTGGTCTCAATATGTTAGTAAAAACATTGAGTCCTATTGATCAAGTTGAGATGGATCAATGGTTCTACGATGATACGAATAAAGACTTCGCTTATGACTATCACAAGATTTTTCTTCGCATGTTGAATTCTGTCGATTCACCTCGATCACATTGGGTGTTGAAAGCTCCAATGCATTCTCTTTTCCTAGGCACATTGACGCGTCATTATGCGAATGCTTTAATAATAATGACGCATCGAAATCTGGACGAAGCCCTACCATCCATTTGCAGTCTCACTTTGGCGTATGGTAGTGATTATTACGATGTTTCTGATCCAGAGAATCGAAGCACATTGGAGACACAAGCTATTCAAACTACAGAACATTCAATTGACTGTATAGTAAAGTTTCGAACTAGTGATCGTCGTGCACAAGAGCCTTCGTACAACAGGATCTTTGATGTTAACTATGAAGATTTGATGAGGGAGCCGATCGTCATCGTGCGTGGAATTTATCAACATTTTGGATTGAACTGGTCTGATGAATTCGAAACGAACATGCAGCATTGGCTTCGTGAAAATCCTCAAGGCAAGCAAGGTCGTCATACATACAATCTTAGTCAATTTAATTTAACGCATGAAGACATTGCAGTACAATATGCTGACTACATTAACATGTTTCTTTCTTCACCAACTGAACCAGAACAGTGTTGACAAGAAGGCTCTATGTAATGAATTGCAGAACTAGAATTAGTAGGTGTTTCTACTGTACTAATATGCGTTGTTAATAACACCGTTACATCATTTAATCAATAAAAAGCGAAGAATTTCATGTCACACAATTCGTTTTATTTCATGAACCTATTTATCTTGATTTTTCAAGTCAGCCATTTTGTGAAAGATTTCAAGTGGCAACTAGTAGATGTACTTGTAGTACTTAAACCCAATTTATTTAGGAAAAAGGTCACATGAGAAAAGTGAATATGTGAATTTCGATGCGCTCAATGAGAACAATAGGATAAGTGCATTTAAAGACAACCATCATTGTTTAAAACAGGATGCGGTGTCGATGTTAGTGTTCTTTCAACAACTCATACCCTTCGAGCTGATACTCAGCAGATGGCTAATTCACAAAAAATTCGTGGGTGTACAAATGGACTTATCGACCGTCGTCCTGTATAATAAAAAAAAACATTAATTTTTCATTCGGTATCTTTGTTACGTGTTATTTAAGTTCATGATTTATTGATGTTTCTAACTAATTATTTAAAGCTATTGATGCTGATTCAGTAGAATGTAACCAAGATCTAATTTCACAAACCTATGCAAAAAACCTTAGTCCGACTGTCCTAGAGTGAGCCGGAAAACTCTGGTGCCCTTCATACGTCTCATTAATGTCTGATATGGTTTTTTACTTCCACAGTATAGAAGAGCTAATTTGAATGATAGAAGAAGACAATGCACATCATGGCATCAAAAGATCTTGTGAATAGTTTTAAGTGAAAAGAAAAAGAGTCAAATTTGAATCCAATATCTGTTCTTATACTCTTCGTGCCATCGTAACGTTCCTTGCAAGAAGCTCATTGCGTAATGATTCCGATAGGCTTCGCTAATAAGACAGAAAATTCGATGATGAAGGAAGAACCACAAGGTCATGCTCATATACATTGCGATTGTAAATGAACCTTGAAGAAGAACAAACATAACTTTTGTTTTAAGATCGATTCTAGCGAGGCAAAACAAAAACCATGAGAAGTGAATAAGAAACGAAGCTTGAAAAAAAACACAGGACAAAAATATTAATTCAAAAGTGTGCAATTTTCTTTGATCTTAATCTCCAACATATGCATTTCAAGTTTTTCACGTACGAAAGAAAGCGTGGAGAAATGGTTCATATTTCGATAAACAAAGGTAGAGATTAAGTCAATGTTTTGTTTTGACTACTTGTCGCAATTTCTCTTTGAATTTTTCAGAGAAATCAATTTCAACTGATGAAATAGCCAATAAATCAATCAATTTTCGTATCATATCACACAAACTATTGATACATTCGTCGTTTACATTATGATAATTTTCAATATAAATATATTTCAATTTTCATTTTGTTACTGCTTGTACAAGTGGTATCACATCTTGCAATGTTAATCTATTTCCATTTTGTCCCAGGCGAAGATATGTCAGTATAGGATACGTTCGAAGACTATTGACAATATAGTGTACACCATTATTTCCTATCTGATTACTACTCAAATCGATCATTTCCAACGATATGATGTTCTGATCAAATACATTAACTAAGACTTTTTTTATTGGATCCCATAGTACATGACAATATTTCATTCGTGTTCTCTGATATTGCATCAGAGAACGAGAAAGAATATTAACATTCACACATTTACTGCTAGTGTATTCATTTTTATCACACTTCACATCGCACTCTCATGAACATATTAAAAATCTGAGTTTTCGACCAAGTCCTGATAGTAGTGTTACTCGTATAGTTTAGCATTTTTCATACGAAAGTCAGAAGGAGCTGATACTCTGAATTCAGACGTTTATTATCATGATCTATTATTTTAGATAGATGGATCGAAAGTTACAATCTCTTTTTTTTATATTAATAGTTTATTGTGCCATGGTGAGCCTCAGAGAAAGAAAAGATAAGAAAAAAATAAAAAAAATAAGTGGCATCAAATAAATAAAAAGAGTTAACAGGCATCAATATCGATCACATCTTCATATAGACATAATAGACGCACGTACAACAACGATTTTCTTCACAACAGAGTTTTCACTATTCGCCATGTCACAATTTGTCTTTGATCAATGATGAGGATTCAAAAACATGTTGTTGTATTCCTTATAGCGCTGCTCAATTAACTCTCGCGTCAGCCCAAGCTGATCCAGAGTGTATATGCTGTGACCTTGCTTGCCCTGAGGATTATCGCAAAGCCATGTTAGCATGACCCTCTCAAATTCTTCTGACCATATGAGTCCAAAGTGTTCATTCACTCTGCAAACAGTATCGATCGGCTGTGCAAGTAAGTCGTCGTAAAATATGTAGAAAAAACGTGTATCCTGATGAGCACGCCAGAAATTGATGAGACGATGGATGAGCATATCCGCTCCACGTAAAATTCGTTCTTCAACTTTGTGCATATGAACCTTCGTATCAACTTTGTTAGTATCGTAAAATAGACTAGTTTGTACAGTGCACAAGCGAACCATAGAGGGTAGCACACCGTCTAGCCGACGATGAATCATGATAAATGAAGTCGATGGATAGTGGCGTGTGAGAGTATCTAGGTATATTAGATGCATCGGTGACTTGAAAAGCCAATGAGAACAGGGCGCATCAACATTATTCAACATTTGTATGAATATCTTATGGTACTCGTAAGTAAAGTTCTTGTTCGTGTCATTGTTGAATCATGTAAAAATTCGGTGTTGTCCTCCGCTATGAACACATCTAACCAGTTTAGATCAGCTTGAAAAAGAATGTACTGATCTTCTTCGTAGTCGAAAAACGGATGACAAGCACGCGCATCTTCAATAAAATTGATCAAGCCTAATTCGATCAACCCTTCACGGAGTGTGCATGTGGTATTATTGCGTTGTGTCTGAGTGGCTGTGTCATGTCTGTGAGGGGTGGTGCTCGAGATGTCGGATTAAAGGCGCGCAGATTGTAGACAAGTGTTGTGCCAGTACGGGGAAGATTACATACAACGAGTGCTAGAGACATTGAATACGCCGTTGCTCTATGTTCGGAATAGGCAGATACATAGTTGAGCACATTTTTACAATTCGTATAACGTTGTTCGAGAGTCTTGTAGAACAGGTGACAACCGATCTGCGAGCAATCACTTGAAAAGAACTCAATATTTCATTGTGGAAAGGAAATTGTGTCTTGGCTTCCTCACTTAGATCGTCCGCACATAGAGTGACGTCTGTATATAGAGCAACGTGTATTTTATCGTTGCTCGTATGGTAGTAAGTAACTCCTGCTGGGTCACTTTCTGCATACTCTTCTACTACATCTGTGTGAAGCACATAGTTTTGTTTCGTTCTATATATATGTCTTCAAAGCATTGGAAACCTTCATGCTACAATCACATGCAATTAGTGATACATATTAGTTGCACATAAATGCAACCTTCGTTTTATCATTACAATTATCGCTTGCAGCTAATGAAATGAAACTGTCATAATGTTTGTGAATATTTCTCTTAAAGTGTGCTGCATATACCTGAAGTCTTTATCAATAGGTAGCTCATGTCATTCTCTACACAACCTTATGAAAAGAAGTCTACCAATGAATAGCTTATAGAATCATATCCTGTCAATACTCCAACGATTCAAAATTACCCACATTTAAGATATGAATTTGATAAAACTAATGATTTCTCTTCGCCTGGCAAAACAGATATGAAACCCTACTTCAATGCAAATTACTTATGTTTTGAGGCGTACTTATTCTAATAGAGCTCAAAAGAACATATATTCGAATATAGTTGTGAGGTTTCAGTAGGCAATCTTCTCCAAAAGAAAAAACGAGTTGAAATCATCGATCGTTCTCATTTAACTTAGTAAGAAATGTGAATATGCAATCATTTTCTATTTAACATAACAAAATAAAAATGGCGATGAATCTTCATGAAAGATTTTCAGAATGCAAATAGACGAAAACAAACATATGATTTTGTTCAGTTAAATGTACAGTACGTCGAAAAAAACAACTATTCACGATATTGATAAAGTTTCTTACAAGTGACAAAATGGTCTACGAATATAGTTCGAGAAAACTGTCATAGTTCGTTGACAAAAATTAGAAAAGTTTGTAAAACTTTTTATAAAAAAATTTTAATGATGTTTTTCATCAATACTTGCACATATTTTAGTAATTGTTTTAAATCAATATTAGTCAGTATATATGGAGCTATTCAAATCTTGAAAATAATGTACTGACCATACTTATACAATGTATATTTGGGTCTTCACTAATTAAATACATAATCAGTATTCAAAATATAATAGAACGAAAAAAAAACAACACATAAACACAAAGAACACAATTTTATAATTTCCTTATTGTCGTGATGAAGCAATATTACGATTAGTATTTGGATCAAATTGTGTTACATTTTTATTTGATGGTGATGTTCTACCACTCATCTATAAAAAAATATGAAATAAATTTTTAAAATATTATATTTTTTTTTTAATGTATAACTTACAAATTTTCTTTTTGATTCAATCATTCTTGTATTCTTAGTAAAATAATCTGGTTCTTGTTCACGTCTTGTTTGTTTTTTTTTCATATTTAACCATTCATCATAGAACATACTTTCAAATATAGGAACAAGTTCACATGCACGTGGTAAATCTGATAAATGAATACGCATAAAATCAAATGAAATACAAACATTATCAAATTTTTGTTCTTGTTTTTCATCTTTTTGACTTTCATCGTCTGTTTTTGTTCTAGATAAAAATGGAATTTTTGCATAACGTTGTGAAAAATGCCATAAAATTGTATATTTAGCATTCATTCGACGACCAACATCAATAGCTTGAGCCATTGTACAATGACGCATTTGTGAAGCATAAACTTCTAAACCTGTTTCAAATGTTGATTCATGAATAAGAACATCAACATTTTGACCTAAATGTAAAAAAAAGAAAAATACAATAATTAAAATAATTTTAACAAATAA